TCTGACTTTCGTAAAATGCAGCCAAATAATACGCCCAGTGGTGGGCTAGCCCAGCTCCAGAAATTAATACAGGAAAGACAAGAAATGGGATGGGTCAGGATTGGACTACACTGACAGGCTTGAATGAGAGGTCGGAGCCAGGCGAAGAGGGTGTGTGTCTATGACAGAATGGGGAGTTGGGCAGAATGACAAAGGGAGGGGATAAAAGCAGCACTCTCCTCTCCTTGTACTCAAAGTCTATAAAGTCATGCTGTTTCATCTGAGATGTTTCATCTCCTCGAGCTGAGAATTGCATTTGCAATTCAATGTGCACCTAGAAACTGTCACTCTTACAGGCCCCACTGCTCCAGCCGGAGTCAGCCCCCAGCAAATGTGCCCGTGGAGATTGCAGAGACCTTCCAGATTTTTCCCTTCCACAAGGCCCTCTGTTCAGGTCTCTCCCTCCACCATGTCTCAATTTACCCTTTTATTCCGTGGTCTTCAAAGTGTGGCCTTTGGACCAGCAGTATCAGCATCACCTGAGCATGCCCATCAATGCTTGTTCCTGGGCCCCTCTCCAGATGTGGAACTCTGGGGTGAGGCCCAGGCATCCGTGTTTTCTCAAGCCCTCCAGATGATTCTGATGCAGCTGAAGTTTGAGAACAGCTGCTTTAGATAACCTTATCAAATAACTAGAGGACCAGTGCACAAAATCCATACACTGGTAGGGTCCCTAGTGGCTGCCTGCCACCACCAGGGTCTCCCTCCCTTCCCCTGGCCAGCCTGGACCCCTGGTCAAACTCCCAGACAACTCCCGGTGTGGGGATAATTTGCATACTATGCTTTTGTTATATAGGATTACTTTAAGATGAGAGAATGTGTGCATTTTAGGAGAGGACTTGTAAACAAGACAAACCACTCAAGTGCCAACCAAATCACTTTCTAGTAGTGGAACATCAAGTCAAGTGGTAGATCAGACCGTGAGTGAGATCTAAGGCTGCTGTGTTAGGTCAAGCCCTCAGCATCTTCTGTTACACTTGGCCTTAAAATCTGATGTCAGCCGAAACTGGTTTGGCTCAGTGCGATGAGCCAGTGTCAAAACAAGGCCCGTGGCAAATTCCTTCCCACCAGCCTGCAATGGGCCAGCCACCGCGCTGTCATCATGCACTCGCTGCGTTCCATCACAATGACAGTTTATGACTGTTCATAAACCATTCGGCCACGATTTAGGTGGTTTTAGATTTGGCCCTTCTCTGATGAGTTCGACACCCTAGGCTAGAGCCCGCTGCAGACTGAAGGGTTCCGGGTTCGATTCTGGTCAAGAACATGTACCTTGGTTGCAGGCACATCCCCAGTAGGAGGTATGCAGGAGTTAGCTGGTCAATGTTTCTCTCTCATAGATGTTTCTAGCTCTCTATCCCTCTCCCTTCCTCTCGGTAAAAAATCAATAAAAATATATTTTTTTAAAAAAATTTGATGTCAAACCCTAACTTAAAACCCCCAGTGGTTGCTCCCTGCCCATAGGATACAGTCTGAACCCCTGACACTGACCCAGGCCTTCAATCATCTGCCTCTGGCCACTCCCCCAGCTATGTTTCCTTCTGCACTTCCCTTCCTCCTTGGCCACACCTGTCTGTAGGGGGATTATATTTTTTCAGGCCACTGACTATAGGCTTGGCCATGTGCCTTATTTGGCCAATAGCATGAGAGCTAAAGTGATGTCTGGACAGACTCAAAGTGCCCTATTTGTTTGGTCATGTTTTCTTTCTTCCCTTTCCCGTAAGTGAAATTCAGATTATCCCAGAAAGAAGCTATTTTGTTAGCCTCAGTGGGTCCAGAATAAAGAAAGATCAAAAGCAGAACCACAACTGATGTACACTGGACATCCAGTGTAAGTGAGAAATGAACCTTGGCTGTTGTAAGCCACTGAGATTTGGGGGCCGCTATTCGGCCTAAACTATTAGAGTACTTTTGATCTCCTATATCCTCTTGGTCTGGAACATCTCCTCTCCTTGGCTTTACCCTTCTTTCCAATCCCACCCCCCTCCTGCCTGCACAAGAGATTGGCTCAGCATTCTATACTCTGTTCAGGTTTTAGCCCCTCAATCAAATATCTTTGTATTTCCCAGGTACAAAAGATCACTCCTACCTGTAGGACCTCCTCTGGATGCTACAGACCTGTAACTGTCCCTGGATCTGCATTAGGGCCTTTCCATTCATTAGGACAACTCAGGAAGGAAGGAAGGAAGGAAGGAAGGAAGGAAGGAAGGAAGGAAGGAAGGAAGGAAGGAAGGAAGGAAGGAAGGAAGGAAGGAAGGAAGGAAGGGAAGAAATGAAGAAAGAAAGAAAGAAAGAAAGAAAGAAAGAAAGAAAGAAAGAAAGAAAGAAAGAGAGAAAGAAAGAAAAAGACAAAAGAAACTGAGTCCTCATTTCACAGAATGGGAGACTTTGGCTCAGAAAAGCAAACTTGCCCAGGTCCCTCACCCCCACCCCCATCAGCCACAGAGACAGAGCTCTCACCAGATGCAGATCTAGCTCGACCTGAGCAATCTTCCCCTGCCCCCATACCCCCACCTCCCCCAGGAAGCTATCAGATCCTCCCACTCTAGTAGAGAGAGTAAAAGTCTCTGTATCAACAACTGAAAGAGCTGATGAATTCCTTTGACACTTGCAAAATCTGCATCTGGAAGTGGGTTTCCTGCCCCCTGAGAAGATAATCACTTTCCCTAAGAAGATGCAGTTATTCTTAAGGCTCCAGGGAAAGGCCCAGGACACCCTAGGAGAACTGGGGCATTTTTGTCTGTGCCTTTCCCTCAAGTTATGGGGGTACTGCGGTGTGACAAGACAAGGAGAGACCCACTTGCAATGGCCCCAGGAAGCTTTGTGAAGGAAGGTCCTTTGGGTTTGTCACAGGGTAGGAAGTTAAGTTGCAGAGGGCTCAGAATTCCAAAAGAGTTTGTTACATCTTGATATTTCAGGTTTTAAAAAGAAAAATGAGTGGCATCAAATGTTTTTCTGACTCTTCAGATTAAATAAATAAGAAAAGGAAAGTGACACAGTGGCAAAGAACTGAACCAGACCACCCAGGTCAGGCATGTGAAAACCGCCTACAGTGGCAACTGCAATTCAGACTTCCAGGAGCTGCTGGAGTTTTGTTTTGTGGTTAGGCTTTGCTCGCTCTCTCTCTCTCTCTCTCTCTCTCTCTCTCTCTCTCTCTCTCTCTCTCTTTCTCTCTTACTTGTTTGTGTAAGGGAGGAGGACAAACTATAAGAACTTTCAAAATTTTTGCCAATATCAACCACACTAATAAAAGACAAGCATTCAACAAAGAACCATGATATCCTCTTCACACAACGTTCATACCCATTTTTTCTAAGTGGTCAAGGGCTCTCTAAGACGGGGAGTTGGATTCCATTTAACTCGCACCATCCCAATGGAGTCCTCATGGGATACATTGCCCTTCAGTGATGCCATCAGTAACATTAATAGCATGTTTCCCCTTCAAGTGCAGAAGGCTATTTGGAGCTCCAAATGGTTGCTAGGCCAGTGTAGACACCTCTGGTTTACGCTCTAAAAGACCATCCACTCCATATAGTAGCTAAGAGCCAGCAGTAACTGAGTACTTAAGCGCAGTGCCCCATGTATTTCAGGTACTGCCTCCTGTAATAACCCTCAGAACAGATGCTATCATGTGGGTGCCAGTCATGACTGCCACCTCACAGTGTAGGAGAGTGAGGCACAGAGGGCATTGACGGACATGAAGAGACAGGCAGGGGCCAGTAGCTGCCCAAAACCACAGGTAATGATTCACTTACAGCCCGCAGGCACTTCTCAGTAAGGGCTCACACACACACACACCCAGTACACTCAGTCACTCATAAACACACTCCCATCTTCAACTCTTCATCCCAGCCAGACACACACACACACAGTACACTCAGTCACTCATAAACACACTCCCATCTTCAACTCTTCATCCCAGCCAGACACACACACACACACACACACACACACACACACACACATTACAGTCAGTCATTAACACACTCCCATCCTCAACCCTTCATCCCAGCCAGACACACACACACTCGCGCACACACTGTACACTCACTCACTCGTAAACACACTCCCATCTTCAACTCTGCATCTCAGCCAGACACACACACACACACACACACACACACTGTACACTCACAGACACACTGTACACTCACATACACTGTACACAGACACACTGTACACTCACACACACTGTACACAGACTGTACACAGACACACTGTACACACACTGTACCCAGACACACTGTACACTCACACACACTGTACACAGACACACTGTACACACTGTACCCAGACACACTGTACACACACACACACACACACACACACTCATGCACACGCTGTACACTCACTCACTCGTAAACACACTCTCATCGTCCATCCCTCCGCAAGCCAGCGGCGGGCGGCGGGGTAATGGCTTGGCAGCGCGCGGAGGAAACTCCATCCAAACGCGGGGTCCGCGGGTCCAGGCGGCCGCTGGGCGCTGTCCAGCGGGCAGCGCGCCTGAGAGTCCTGGCTGGGGTCCCGCCTCGGGACACCCCGAAGCTGGGGAGGCCCGCCAACGCCGGATCCCGGGAGGGGTGGGGGCACCGTCTCCGGAGACACCTGTTGCCGCCTCCCCGGGAGGGACCACGAAGCCGTCCCGGGACCCGGGCGTCGGGGGAGACGCTGTCTGGCAAACTGAGCGTGAATGCGGGGGTCGCAAGGCTCTTCCTCCCGCACCCCGCCCGCCTCCGCCCACCTCCCCTCCCCGCCTCCCCCTCCGGACGCCCGCGGCGCGTGGGGATGTCAGGCCCCCAGGGACCCGGGGGCACCTGCAGAGGCGGACCCGGGTGCGAGGGGCCCGGGGAGCCGCGGCACTAGGACCTCGCGGCCGGGCCGCCCCCTGCCCGCTCCACCTGCGAGGGCCCCCGCACCCGCACGCTCCCCTCCCTCCGCGGGGCGCTGCGCGGCGCGGTTACCGGTGACGCCGCCGCCCGCAGGCTCCCTGGTGTCGGCGGAAGGTGGCCGCAGCGAACTGGCCGCGCTGGCCCGGGATCCCCTCCCGGCGCTCGGCTCCCACCGAGCTCGCTCGCTCGCTCGGATCGCAGCACCGCCGCTGGCTCGCGGTCCTGGCGCAGCTCCCGCCGCTCCTCATTGGCCACCGCGCGCTCCCGAGCCGCGCTCTGATTGGGGGTTCGGGAGCGGTGGGTGGTGCCCCGCGCCGCCCCCACCTCCTCCCCGCGCTCTGATTGGGCGGCCGGGAGCAGTGGGTGGCGCCCCGCGCCGCCCTCACCTCCTCCCCGCGCCCTGGCGCCGAACCTGGCATCCCGGCTGCACGCGCCGCTCCATCCAGACGCTCCGTGCAGCGTGGGGCTGCCTCCCCGGCGCAGGAGGGGCGAGAAGCGTTCCTGCGAGGAGCCCGGGGAGGTCGGGGGTAGGGATCGCCAGGGAGTGTCCCCCAGAGCCCCTGCCAATGCTGGACCGCGGGGATCATTGCTCCTCCGGCTTCACTCCTACCTGGGGTTTTGACCACCTGCTCATTTTGATCCTGGGACTATTATACTGGGTGCAGGAGTCGGGCTACCAGATTGTAAACAGTGGGTATCAGATTGGGTTTGGGGACTCAGGTCGGACTATGACACACATTTTTTTTTTAAGAAGAAGAAGAAATTTATTTCAAATAGGTTCGGTGGTACATGTGCTACAGCAAAAGCGAATTGTAGCACTTTCCTTTCAAACCAGCAGTGATGTGTAATTTAGACATTATTTGGGAATGAGTAGTTTCTGAGAGAATCAATCCAGTAATTTTTGCATTTATCGTAGACCCTAATTTCAGTACTAGAGAGGTTACATTTGCATCACCAAAAAATGAGAATAATTGATACTACGGTGAAATTCACTCCCCAGCACTACTTTGAAAACATATCGCTAATTTGGTAATAGAAAATCTGATTTGTCTCAGACATGGCTGGAAACTTTTGCGGGAACTTGAGGGTCTGCTGAATCAAGTGATGAAGGCTTATATCTGGATGTGTTGAGTTAGTATAGTCCTGGGGTGTTGATCTGTGAGTGCCTTGAGTGGGGCCTGGATGAGGCTGGTTGTCCTATTAGGAAATGTCTTTTGTGTGAAGTGTATCATTGGGCATGTGGAGGTATTATTGATATGAGAGAATGCTAAGTAACAGATTTGCTATCTGAAAAGGGATTTACTATCGGGGAAAGGGAGGGAGGAAGAGACTGAACATAAACTGTGCACCAATGGATGAGGATGAGGGGGCAAAGGGTGGGGTGGGAACCTGGTGGAGGGGGGAAGAAACGAGGAACCTGTGTAATAATATGAACAATAAAGATTGATAAAAAAAAAAAAAAAAAAAAAAAAAGAAAATCTGATTTGATCCAAATTCTTCAGTCATCATCTACTGTTGGCTTGTCACTCCCCTTCTTATTTACACACAATCTGTATGTGGTCCAACCTTGGCTTGCAAAGCGGCTTCGCCCAAGGTCCTCATCACGTTTGCAAATTTTTAGCAGTAAAAAAGAAAGATGATTCTCTTAATTTACAAGGAACTTATACCTTGCTGGGGAAAGGAGGTTGGATAATGATGATGATAGTAACAACAAACCTACTGTTTCTGTGGTGCATGTTATTTGTGGGCACTTTTCGAAGTGTTTTACGTGTATTCGTTCAGAAATACGGGAAACAGCTGTCCTAAGGAGGTCCACATGTCCAGGAAAACGTGTGAACAGGCAATGTCAGTTCTGAGGATGGAGAGATTTTTTTCATCTGGAAGACACACTGGGTCACTCCATACCGTGGAGAGGGATTATCGGGAATTAAAACTATTAACACCTTCCGTTTCTTCTCCCGTAGTCTTTATTCCTCCTGGCATTTTCTCCCACCTGCCTTGAACCCTTCTAAAGAATAAAACCAACCATTATCAAACAGGGTGCCACCGGAACTCTGTTACCCCCTCACAAAGGGCCCCCACTAAACACCTAGGTAGACAGTAGAAATAAATAGCACAGTTCATAGTTGACTTTGGTTGCACTAATATTTTGAAAGCAAGTATGTAACCACTTTCCTATAGGTCCTCCCCCTACCTCTTGAATTATGGTGGTGCCCTGGCCAGGTAGCTCAGTTGGCTAGAGCATTATCCCCATACGCCAAGGTTTCAAGTTTCACCTCCAGTCAGGGACATACAAGAATCAACCAATAATTGCATAAATGAGTGAAACAACAAATCTCTCTCTCTCTCTCTCTCTCTCTCCCTCCCTCCCTCCCTCCCTCCCTCTCTTCCTCTCTCCCTCTCTTCATCTCTCTCTAAAATCAATCCAAAAAATGTAAAAAAATACACACATCCTGCATTCTGAGAGTGTGGAAACTGTCATTGAAGGACACAGTTAAATCTTAAAGGGTAGTAGCTAAAAGAATGAAAGTGTAGAAGAACAGAAAAATCTATAAAAAATATTTAACAGTTGCCTTGCATTCCCTCTGCCCCCCTCAAGCTTCCATCTTCAGCACCCCAGAGGGGGATTTACTCCTTAGATTTGCATTGTCCCATTAAAGAGTCTGTGGTGATGGAAATATTCTTTAACTGAACTATTCAATATGGAAGCCCCCAAGCCCATGTGGCTATTAGCCACTCCAATGTGGTTAGTGAAGAACTGAATTTTAAATTGTATTTACATTTAAATAGTCAAGTGTGGCTAGTGGCTATTTTACCTAAAGTGTATCTTTGGCTGGCTTAGAAGTTGTCTTCACTGGCAGCTTGAAAAAACACTGCAGGGCATGGGAACGGGACAGTCTATGTCTTTATGCCCAGCTCAAGTCTAAATCCACTAGAAATTCTTCAATAAGATCTCACAGCTCCCACCCTTCTCCTTTCTATGAACTCTTAATGAACTTCTGTCAATAACGCAGTGTTTACTTTTGTCTTTATGGCAAGGTGCTCCCATTCCACAAATATTTATGGACCCAGCACTCCGTGGAATTCTGGAAAGAGAAAAGATTGCAGACAATGTTGGCCAACATCCAAAGGGTTGGTCTTTTTTTTTTTTTTTTTTTTTTTTTTAATGTTTCAGTATGCTATTATTTCAAAATATTTTTCACATGCAATGAACATTAATATCTCAAGGCAAAACTATTTTAAATATGATAATGTTACATGCAATAAGCACCAATTATTCAAGAAAAATGATCTTACATATAACAATAGTACATGCAATAAACAGTAATATTTCAAGAATAAAAGGATTTTAAGTATAATAATACTAAGGGCCCAGTGCATGAATTCGTGCACCTTGAAAGGAACTGCAGGCTTCGAGGCTGCGGTGAGTCTCTGCCCATCCTCTAAGCCTCCATCAGGCCCCTCCCTCCTCGACCCCTGGCCCCCCTGTCTGCTAGGGCTGCTGCTGCTCCCACATGCTGACAGCTTGCACTTACTGACAGTGTGGAGCAAATGGGGCTATAGCCAGCAGCGGGTGTGAGCAGTGGCTGCTGCCCCAATCACCCCTCAGAAGCAGTGGGAGCAAGAGAAGCCCTCAGGAGCCATCAGGGCCAGCAGCTGCTACTCACACCTGCCGACAGCAGGACCAGTGCTGGGCACCAGCAGCAGGTGCAAGAGGAGCCAGCACCAAAGCAATTGTGAGTGTGGAGCACAAGAGCAAAGAATTTTCAGTTATCACCAGAGGCTCACCCCAATGACAGCGACTGGTGCCCTGCTTTGGTCTGGGGCACTCACTCACCTGCTCCACCATCCCACTACAGCCAATGCCCACCATGTTCTGTACTCTGCTGCCTGATGCCAATGCCTGCCATGTTCTGTGCATGCCCCCTGTTGGTCAGCGCACATCATAGTGACTGCTTATTTGGTTGTTTGGTTTTTTGGTTGCTCTGCCGTTTGATCTATTTGCATATTAGGATTTTATATATATATGAGAGGCTCAGTACACAAAATTTGTGCATGGGTAGGGTCCCTAGTGGCAGCTTTCAGCCTCAGGGGGCCTCCCTGGGCCTCCCTTCCCCTGGCCACCTGCTACCGCCAGCTGGGGGGAGGGGCCGTGGGTGGTTGGTTGGCCAACCCCAACCCTGGTTTAACACCTGGTTTAGCAGACGATTTGCATATTAGGCTTTTATGATATAGGATAGATTATCAAAACTGTACTAATATAGTATGATATCACAAAAGTTGTAGGAAATATTAAATATCTGCAAATAACAGGATTACTTCTATTATATTCTAGTATATTTCCCTCCCCTCTGGCCCTATTTTTGCTCATCACTTTATGTTGTTCATTATATTTCACAAATGAGTGAGATCATATGATATTTATCTTTCTCCAACTGGGTTATTTTGCTTAGCATGGTGCTTCTAAAGTCTATTTTATTGCTACTCCAGCTTTTTTTTGTCTTCCATTTGCATGGAAATTTTTCTCCATCCCTTCACTTTCATCCTCTGTGTGTCTTTTGTTTTGAGGTGGGTCTCTTGTAGACAGCATATAGTTTGGGTCATGTTTTTGTATCCATTCAGCTACTCTATACCTTTTGATTGGAGCATTTAATCCATTTACGTTTAGGTTTATTGTTGAGAGGTACTTATTTATAGCCATTTTAATTCTGTATGGCTAGGTTTCTCTCTCTGTTTCTTCTACTTAGCAATCTCTTACAGCAATTCCTTTAGCATTTCTTGTAATCCTGGCTTGGTGATGATGAACTCCTTTAGCCTTTTTTTTTTTTTTTTTTTTTTTTTTTTTTTTGTCTGGGAAGCTCTTTATTTGACTGTCTATTTTGAATGAAAGCCTTGCTAGATATAGTAATCTTGGTCTCAGATCCTTTCTTTCCATTACTTTGAGTACTTAATGCCATTCCCTTCTGGCCTGTAGAGTTTCTGATGAGAAATCAGGTGTTAGCCTTATGGGGACTCCTTTGTAGGTAACAGTTATCTTTTCTCTTGCTGCCTTTAAGATTCTCTCTTTGTCTTTAATTTTTGGTGTTTTAATTATGATGTGTCTGGGCATGGGCCTGTTTGAGTTTTTCTTGTTTGGGGTTCTCTGTGCCTCCTGAACATCTGTGACTTTTTCCTTTACCAGGTTAGGGAAGTTTTTTGCCATTATTTCTTCAAACACC